AGTCCTTATTTTTTGTATTTGATATTTTTCCGACGTTTTTTTAGTATAGCTTTTTTAAAAAGATATACAATTAATACAATTTACTGTATTTTACAAGTTTTATTATAATTGAATCTTATTTTTAAAACTGCTATTTTATTTATTTTATTCTAGATGCTAAAGTACGACTCGATTATATAAGGTGTAGAGACTCGGTTACAGTTAATCAAAAACGCGGCATGGTTAGCTGCTTATTTGCAATATTTTAAGTTGCATTTCATTTGACAAATTTCAATGTATTGAAATTGATATTAAAGCACAAATATTTTATACTGTATACAGTAACATTTTTAACAACGCATATTTACATGCATACTTAGATTATAATAATAATATTCGATTTTTTTTGAGAAAATCAACCAAAGTGTTTTATTTGAATACCCCGGAGCAAGCAAGCCGAAACCAATATAGTTTCCTGAAGGTGTTGCTTTGAAAACAGAGTAGCCATTTTGAGGAAAGGAGTACCGATAGCACAGAGTCTTTCCAATAATGTTTGTATACCAAAGCATGTCATCGTACCTCTGGGTAGAATTGTATAATAGCGGCGTCAAAAGTGAGGATAAAGCTTGGTGTCGAATCGCATGGGACCAATAGTCGGTGTTTGTTAGTAACAGCTGAGTCAGGGATCAAGCCTGCAATGCCATCAACGTCGGAATATGGTACTTTTAGAATACTGGCGCCGGTATTGATCAAACAGGGAAGTCGACTAAAGTCTAGGTAAGTTTGTCTATTTACCATAATACTATGCAATATTATTGTCCATCCACGATAATTAATCATGATTCTATGAAAACTAATTGGAGGAAAAATATCAAATACAAAAAATAAGGACTTCTCAAACACTTTTTGGAAGGATCTTTCTTTCCCAGAAAGCGCAAATTCTAATTGACCTCAAACCTAAACAATAGATCAATTTCCCATCCCATACATTCCAAACTTTTTATAGGGTTAGAAATCATTTTATTATTGAAATCATCTTATTATTGAAATAACTTGAAGCATATAATCTATAAGCTTGTTTATTTTAAAAACATTTCCGATAGTTCACACAATTATCCATCTTTAAATTCCAACCATTTACACTTTGACCATTTACCACTTGACATGCATCATTAAGATCTCCATATTTCTCAAGTTTCTTTACGTAATCGTTATCAATCCCACCACGGCCTTGTCCAAATCCACCTTGAAATATACAATTAATAGGGGCACCTACTGGATCATTGCATTTAAAATATATCTGGCAATAGTGAGATATGGGGTTTTCGACGCAACAATATGAATCAGGCGCACAGGCTCGCGAAATGCTATCAGGGGAACATACTACGACATCATAATAGTTCAAGATGATGCTTGCGTAATGTGCTTCTAAAATTTTGAAAAGTCCGTTTCCCATATCAGTAGGACTAGTTTTCGTGCCGTTATAATCAGAAAATTGATTCCAATTTATCCAATCTGAATCATCAATGTTAGCATCAAGAGATCTGTCTACAAATGATTGCAGAGACTCCAACATATTTGTTTCCGCATCGTTTTCAATGAATCCTAAATCCGACAGTTTGGTAACCGTATTTTTGGACGGGTCGATTGAACTTTGACCATTGTGGATAGCATCCGACCATTTTTGTTTAAATTCATTGGCAACCAGAATTGCATCATCTACAGCAGCCACAAATGGCAATAAGAATGGATCGATCTCCACCATTATAAATGATAACACGAATGCTGTTAACATTTCGATAAGGTTTGTATTTACATCCTTCTCAGGAGTTAGGTCTTTAACCATATCTGAAACCATTACTCTATCGAGCTCTCCATAAGCGTATATAATTGATTCGTATACAGCTGAATGGTAATCTAAAAAATGCATGACCGACTGGACCAGACTGGCTACATTGGTCTCTAGGCTATTATATTTAAATTCCATATAGTCCTTTGTGGCAATATTCAAAAAGCTTCTGATGCCTTTATCCCCAGATTGTCGGGTAAGACCATCGATAACCTCTCCTATAGAGGTATCGGCAATTTCTATTTTTCTGCCATTGTCTACATTTATTCTATTATACTGTATATGGCGATTGAGTAGGTTGTGACAGGAGGCACAGGATAATCGGGGTTGGGAGTGAATCCATTGTATGTTATGTGTGTTTGAACGGTAGGATTGTAAAAGTAACCACTTTCTGAGCATTGATACAAAGCCAATATCGTGTGATCTTTATCATCAAGTGGTACATTGACATTGAGTTTGCAATCCGAAGTACATCCCAGGAACACTTAAGACATCGTGGAGCCATAAAGACCATCAGTGCCATAAAAGTTAGATGTGCCGTATGCGGCTATATATTTAGCTTCGAAGTTGACAGTTTCGTAATAATCTTGATCACAAATATAATATGTTAATATGACAGTGGTCCAGGCGCTAACTCGACAAACGAGAAAAAGAAAAATGAGAAGCTTCTTATTCATATTGGATAGCGTCTTTCAAAAAAAAATGATAAAAGGAAAAAAAGGAAACCCTTATCATATCGAAAAGCGTTTTTTCAAAAATAAAGGTGATCTTTATATATCGGATTCGGTGCAAGGCAATGTCTATAGTTGAAATGTCAATTTTTTTTTTCATAGTATTTTTGTTAATCGCCGAAATTATTTTTATTAGTCGCCGAAACTAAATTTTCAAGAACACGACTGTATAATGTCAACTTGATTATTTTGATATCAAAATTTTATATAGTAAGGTTACGTATATGCAGGTATTAGACTTTTGCTTTATAAAGTGTCGCGATGTACAGTCATCCAACAAGTGTAGTCACCTCAAAAAGTAACAGCTTGTAACACGGCATTGAGCGTAAACTATTGTTTTTAATAGCTTGAGGATATTTTCTATTGGGTCTAGATTAAATGAGTTACTAAACCAATCGAACTAACCTGGGATATTCATGCAGTATGGGCATTGTGAAAACGATTAATTTGGTTAGTACTAAAAAACTGCACCTAAAAATAAATTGGTGGAAATTGATTAATTTGGTTAAAAATCACGGGATTAAGTAATAACAGTACTAGATGTATATACAGGGAGTTGCAAAAAAAAATGACAATTATATTTTTATTTGTAACTTAATAAAAATTATTTTTTAAAAAAATAATAAATTCAAATATAATTAAATTAACATTTATAGAATAATTTTATTTAGAACTACTTTATTAATTAATTAATAATTTAATTTGATATTTTAATTTTTAATAAAAATTTTATATTATACTTTTTAATTTTTGTTTAATTTCTGTTTAAAAAAAAGTAATATACATATATATATTTATGTAGATTTTGTTTTTTAAATAAAAGATTTTAAAAGGTAAAATAAAAGAACAAAATAATAAATTAAATGATTTTTTTTAAAAAAAATATTAATATTAATATAATAAATTTTTAATTAAAAATTTTAATAAATCTATCTTTTAAAATATAAATTAAAAAAATTTTTAAATAATGTTGGGGGTAATAATGGTAAGTCTGTCGCTACGTCACGATCGCCGATCGTGTAACGTCGAAAGAGGCGTGGAGATGTGGCACGAGGTAAGTGAAA